AAAACGAACCTCCCCCCCCCCCCACAGCACGTGAGAAGACACCTGCGCGCCAGATATCGAGCCGTACGTAGACCATTCGTTCGACACACCAAGATAGAGAGCGGCGCTCACACAGCGATGCGGTCACAACAAGCCTTAACACACGTAAAGACAACATCATACTAGGCGGTCGACAGCGCCCATAAATATAGAGGAAGCGGAACTGCCGAGGTAGACCAGATGCGCCCTAGCACGACTCCGTCCTGGGTGATGCCACCGACTCAACAACTACCTCTCTCGGCTGAACAGAGAAGTGGCAAACACCTGCCTCGCTTGTGGGCAAGGTCCTCACAACACCCAACATCTCTTCCAACCGTACAACCCTGACACCAGAAACACTCTGGACTGCGCCCAACGACGCCGCCCGCTTCCTCGGCAGCGTCAGAGGATAAAGATGATGACTCATGACAAAACCCTGGGGGTTGAGTACCTCTGCTGAAACAGCTATTCAGCGGGTGCTATAAAAAAATCAGTTTACATCCAAAATGTTCTCTCGATAAAAACGACACAAAATAAACTTTCTTCGTGATACGCCCTACTACACATTCATACATATTCCTACGAGACAAATCTGACGGAAAGTAATAAACACATACCAGTGAACCTACGCAAAAGCATGTAAGGAAAATCCTGTGTACTAGCGAGAAAGAAACAGCACATGTTAAAAGGAGATCACACCTACAGGAAAGTATCAGATTTTTCAAAATCGCCCTAGATAATACTCCAAGTCGGATACTCAGATGATTCATCGGAGATCAGTCAGTTGTCCCGTAGGGAAGTTTTTCTGCTCTCGGATGTATACTTTATAACGGTGGTGGGCCCGGGAAAAGTTCCTTCAAGCTTTGTATACATTTAGTATAGAAAGCTTGAAAGAGCTTTGGACGCGGGCAAGCTGATGCCCACCACCGATTTATCATGAAAAGACAGGAAATGAAATATTCAAACTCCTATTTTCCGTATGCTAAAGTGGCAACTCTCAGTTCCCATTTAGGTGTTTTTAGTCTGCGCTCACATCGATGGTCAATTTATAGTGCATGAAAAATGTTTGACAGTAAACTACCGGCGTATGTGAATAATTAGGTTGGCCTGTAGGTGTTGGCTGAAGGATTGCGGATTAAGGCCAAAAACATAGTGGAGCGGCGAGCGCAAAGAGCATCGAGCAAAGCTTCGATTTCAATCGCATATGTTTCAATGGGAGAGCGCATACCCTGCAAAAATCGTTGGACCATGTAGTCTATTTGAGGTAAATTGGAGTACTTACAAAAGTACTCGTGTCTCTGCGCCAGCTTATTGTTTGTTATCCGATCACTGCTCGTGTGTTAACGAAATGTGATTGAAGTTGAGCATTTGAAAGCACATTTGCATGTCTAGCTGTAGCTGAACGTGTAGAGATGCTCGCTGTTAGTTCTTAGCCCCCAGCATGTTCGGGTTCGAATGCCGTCAGAGGCAACATGTAATTTTTAATTTTTGTCTTGGTTTTTATTAATTTCGAAAAGGCATTTGAGAAGTGAAGAACAAAAGCGTGTTCAATCGAAAAAATATAACAACAATGCCATTGTTAATATGTTGGAGTAGTTTTGTGCTACTCTGATGTAATGCATGGATGGAGTATATGGTCCTGCCCCAGGACATCGCAATGTTAATTGGACCATATTTTTTATATGAATTGTGGCTAATTTTGGAGTACTCCTTGGTCCTTAGGAAGTACTCTTTACACGCATGCATGGAGTAGTCTCGATTTTTGCAGGGTAGTGAAGAGCAAATTGAAGCTTTGCTCGATGACAGCTCTTCGCTTCGCTCGCCGCTCCACTATGTTTTGGCCTTAGCAAGCCGGGAAGTCGTGGGTTCGTATCCCACTGCCAGGGAACGTTTTTTTACATCTATTTTTGTTCTTTTAAATATTATTTAAATTTTTGTTATTTAATTATAGTTGTTGTAGCCTTTTTAATTAAATTTAAACAATAAAAATTTGATAATAACGAAATAATTACATATATGAAATACCATAAACAAAGAAAAGATATTAAAACAAAATTTAATAAAATAAAATAAAATAATTTTTGTGTTAGATAAAATAAAAATAATTGTTTAGAATCGCTCGGAGTGGGGACCGAACCTGGGTGCTATTGCGTTTACTACTTCAACAACAAAATAAAACTTAGAACCTTATTTTTCCATTTTAAACCCGCGTTATCCTCATTTTAAAATTAAAATTCCGTTTTTGCCATAAAATGCATTTTAAGTTGACTATGATTACAATAAAACACAATTTTAATCGTTAAAACCTTCTTCTAACTTCTCTGTGACCACGGGCCCTAGTATGTAGGTTCTCCATTTGCCATAAAGTGGCAACACTTATCTCTCAGAGAAGCTGTCACCAACAGCGTACAATTGTACCAAATTTGCTAAGATTTTTGAAAAATTTTAAGATTTGAACCCTACTATGCTTTATTCTACTTTTACTACGCTTTTTATATTTCATTCAACATATGGGCAGCAACTACTTGTAAATCACTATAACTTCAAAAATTTGGTAAACATGTCATGGTTTCAAGGTCTAAATGTATACTCTTACTTAAAATTGTGCAAGCGACTGACCAAAAATATCTGCAACTACGTTTTACTACGTTTTTTCTGGTATTTTGCTACGCAATCGGATTCGTGAGCTGCCAACCCTGGTCACCAATTGCAACTTGTGTAATAAAAGAAGTGCATGTAGCAGAGAACGTCTATGAATGAGAAGGCGCATTTCCAGTGGACCGTTTTTGTTGCGCAAAAATTTTGGGGTGCAGTCGGCCAAATATACCACACGTCGACGAGTGCACCACTCGACCGACGGTGTCGGTAGAGAAGTGTCGGCTGCCACCATACCAAAAATTTTTCCGTCCCACCACACTTCGAGCAGATCAAAGCAAAATGAAAAAATAAGAACAAAATGGAAAGAGGAACAAAAATCTAATAAGCATAGGGCAGAGGGGGTGCTTGCGGAGGCAGGCGCGTGCTTGTGTCGGATCAAAACAAACTCTAAAATAAAAATGGTAGTCGGAACGACAAGTGTACAAAAGAAGCGGGGAAACGGGGAAAGGAGCGGGCTTTTGTACATTTGCTTGTTTGCCGAAAATATGATATTTGCGTGAAATCGATTTGCTGGTTGCAAATTCATTTTTGCAAACATGTATGAATTTTTCTGTTTCAGCTA